TTCCATTGTGCATTGTGTCAACTAAATATGTAAAATTCATTTGCCCATTATTGACATTATCAAAAATGTTTTGTACTAAACCAGCCTGAGGTTGTAACAGACTTGCTTGGAGTAATATGCCTGAAATCCCCTTTAAAGTATATCCAGGAATATGTTCCAACACCTGACTCTGAGCTGGGAAGAGTCCAAGAATACTGTAAAGAAAAGTCTGTTAGTGCTCCTCCACTGTGGATAGTGTAAGGAAAAGTCTGTTAGTGCTCCTCCACTGTGGATAGTGTAAGGAAAGGTCTGTTAGTGCTCCTCCACTGTGGATAGTGTAAGGAAAAGTCTGTTAGTGCTCCTCCACTGTGGATAGTGTAAAGAAAAGGCTGTTAGTGCTCCTCCACTGTGGATAGTGTAAGGAAAAGTCTGTTAGTGCTCCTCCACTGTGGATAGTGTAAATAAAAGTCTGTTAGTGTTCCTCCACTGTGGATAGTGTAAGAAAAAGTCTGTTAGTCATCCTCCACTGTGGATAGTGTAAGGAAAAGTCTGTTGGTGCTCCTCCACTGTGGATAGTGTAAAGAAAGTTGCCCAAGCAACAATAACAGTTACTATGTTGTTAAGTGTAGAGCTATCTTAAAAGCCCACCACAGAATGGGCAGTTTGAGGTGATACTTGACACTATATTCCAGACAAATGTTTACACATATTTAGTTATGCCTTTGAAGTAGGCATCAGACACACATTGCAAATTATAACAAGACTGATTGTTTAGGTTGAAGCTGGTCCAACAACTTATATGGGTAAAAGCAACTCTTAAAGTCCACATTGATCCTCTCCATGTCTGTGCCAATCTTAGATGGCTATCTTCTACCTCTCCTGTAGGTCACCTATCTTGTCTCTATCTCTCTCACTCCCCCCCCTTCCAAATCAGGTCATGTGATCTAACTACAGGTAACATCCTGGCATTCTACACACTGTACTGATTAGTATCGAAATAGTTTGTACTGTATTCCACAAGGATCATGTTTCCAGAAACAAATAATATGTTTTTGTTGGTGTATTTTCCCATATGATGTAAATGAGAAGTTAGACTTGCCAAAAGCATTCAGGAGCCCTGGTTTAACATTCTGCCTTAGTGTTTGGGGGAATTAATGACTTTGATGCCAGTGCCAAAAATATTTGAAAAGGTGGCATGTTGGATGTGTTAAAGCAGACATGCTTCAAAGGTTAAGCGGAAATTCATGTAGGAAAAGCTTGTAAATATGTGTAGTACATTACATACAAGAAAACTACAGAATGTACAAGCATGCTCCATTTGTCAAAGATATTTGTTGAAGACAGTTTGCCTAGATTTCCTCATCGTTACACACTGTAGTACAAGAGTTGGCCATGGCAAGAGGCCTAGATGCAGACTCCGGCACCCTGTATCATGTCCCTTGTCAGGGCTGTCACAGAGAGGAATGCCACATACATATCAGGTGTGTCAGTGCCTGTGTACCTGTCAGGTAACAATAGATATCGTTAAGCAGATCAAAGACAGGTGAGTTTAGTCACGTTCAGGAGACCTGGTCAGTGAAGGTCAATGGTCAACATGTGGCCGCCATGTGGCTGTTTGGTAGATTGGATTCAGATGGTGGTTGTAGTCAGGTGCTGATGATTGCTGTAAATACAGGAGGCATTAGGAGATGTCATATGTTACGTGGATAAATTATTGAAGCAATAGCTGTTAAACAATGGATTTTGCCATTTTGCAGGTTGAAAGCACATTACTTTATGATAAGCCATGCTTTCAGTACTCATTAAAAGAAAAATGCCCTGCATAAAAATAAATGAGAAGATTTCATGGGAACATTTTTTCAAGTAAGAGATCAAAAGGACATTTGTTTGTTTTTATTTGGTAATTGGAGAAAGGTTTCAAATAAGAAAGGATACCCAGTTACCTATGCTTGCTGACATAAACATTTAAATATCAAATTAATTGTTGATAGCATATTTTTCAAAGCTTTGAAAGCTAATTGCTCCAAACATTTATAGCCACTAGGACTAGTTCATAAATGAGCATGTAGGTGTTAGCGTGTACAGAGGAGATGAAGTGAGTGGAGAGAGAGGCAGGAAGAGAGGTGAAGCACTTCCTGCTGTGGGAGTTGATGGGGTAGATTGTATCAGATTGTGCTGCAGCTGTGGGTAAAGATGCAGTTGCAGTCAAGCATGTGTATCTAGGTCACATCAAGCATGTGTATCTAGGTCACATCAAGCATGTGTATCAAGGTCACATCAAGCATGTGTATCTAGGCTACATCAAGCATGTGTATCAAGGTCACATCAAGCATGTGTATCTAGGTCACATCAAGCATGTGTATCTAGGTCACATCAAGCATGTGTATCTAGGTCACATCAAACACTTGTATCAAGGCCACATCAAATGCCTGTATCAAGTCCACATCAAACACCTGTATCAAGGCCACATCAAATGCCTGTATGAAGGCCACATCAAACGTCTGTATCTAGGCCTCATCAAGCTCAGGTATCTAGGCCACATCAAACACCTGTATCAATGTCACATCAAACACCTGTATCTAGACCACATCAAACACAGGTATCTAGGTCACATCAAACACAGGTATGATGATGTTGATGATGAAGACGGCATTCATAATGTAGCTTGTGATAAACATGTCATGATGATGATGATGATGGTGATGTCATAATCTCCACACAATAGACTGCGTCCATAGGCCCAATCCTGGGGTGAATCTCCACTTGCATTTTTGATAAAACTCTCTTCCTTTTGTTTTTTTATCCTGGTCAAGATTCCTTGTCTTTCAAAAATGGAAAAAATAACTTGTCCTGGCTTGTTTGTTCAATAGAGGAATGATGACGAGGCTCATGTCTTATGAGGCTTATGTCTTATGAGGCTTATGTCTTACGAGGCTCATGTCTCACGAGGCTCATGTTTTACGAGGCTCATGTCTTACGAGGCTCATGTCTTACGAGGCTCATGTTTTACGAGGCTCATGACTTATTGGGCTTATGTCTTACGAGGCTCATGTTTTACGAGGCTCATGTCTTATTAGGCTTATGTCTTACGAGGCTCATGTTTTAGGAGGCTCATGACTTATTGCGCTTATGTCTTACGGGGCTCACGTCTTACGAGGCTCATGTTTTACGAGGCTCATGACTTATTGGGCTTATGTTTTACGAGGCTCATGACTTATTGGGCTTATGTCTTACGGGGCTCATGTCTTACAAAGCTCATGTTTTACGAGGCTCATGACTTATTGGGCTTATGTCTTACGGGGCTCATGTCTTACGAGGCTCGTGACTTATGGGGCTCATGTCTTATGAGGCTCATGTTTTACGAGGCTCATGACTTATTGGGCTTATGTCTTACGGGGCTCATGTCTTACGAGGCTCATGACTTACGGGGCTCTTGTCTTACGAGGCTCTTGTCTTACGAGACTCATGTCTTACGAGACTCATGTCTTACGCCAATCCTAATTCTTATCCTGTTCTTCGACTGACAAGTATTTGCCGTTCACAACTGCAAAAAAGGACAGAATCCTGATTCTGTTGTGGAAGAGTCATGAATCTGGGTGATTACCTGTACTCTTAATTGGACCCCCCTGTATTTTCTTGGAAGATATCAAAGTTTAAGGAACACAAGGTGTTCAGAGTTCTTCATCATTTGTTTCTTAAATCTGTTACTTTTGCAAAATGGCTCCAGAATTTCAAAAAATAAAAAGGCGAAAACAAATTTCCCATGGCTCTGCAGGTTCCAAGAATGATGTAAATTGATTTGATGGGCATGCAGTCTTCACAAGGATGCAGCTCTTGGATGCACGTAAAAGACAGATTTTTGGCAGCATTACCTCTTTACTTGCCAGATGGCGCCAAAAGCCACGAAGCGGTAGAAGAGATTTACTGGCACGGCTCTGAGTTCTCACGGCTATACAATGAAAAGTTTCTATGTATAGGTTCCTTGCAAAAATACATGGATGCTACACTATGGGTTTTTACCAACAGTTGAAGATGAAGGATAAATACATCACCTCTCCCTCTCTTCTCTTAGGCAGCATATCAGCTCAGTTTTTTATAATACTTGGCCTTTCGCCAACTTTGTGAGATTGAAGCTTGTTGCTATCAATACTGTAGGAAAATGGATAGCGGTTGTCTGTATATCAGGCTTTCTAAGCCATTAATAAAATACCTGTTTTTTCAACCAAATGGTTTGAAATTGTTTTCTATATTGTGATGGCCAGTTGTAATGAGATAGTCCTTCAACACTGATAATGTCACTTGTTGTCAGGGAACTTGGGCTGGGATTGAAAGGGGATGAAATTGAAGTTAGATAAGAATCTTGGTATTGTGTGATGGGGTATATTGCTGTTATCACATGGTCTGATGGTATTCCATTATCTTCGGGTTACATGGTGTGAATAAAATAGGAGCCGGCAGTTATCAAATGATATCCTTTGCTCTTTGTTTTATGTGTCCTATGTCCAGCTAAATCTAATATTCAATAATTCAACTGGATGATATATAGAGAATCTCACCCAAGTGTCTTTTGATATTAAATATATCAACATGAGTGAATAAAAGTGGAAAAACTCTGAGGCTTGCCAAGGAGTTTTTCCACTTTTATTGATGTGTGTTGATATATTTGATATCAACAGACACGAGGGTGAGATTCTATTAATCATCAAACATCATTCTTCAAACTTCTGCAAAGCATTGTGATGCAATTTCATTGCAGCAATATCTACAATGTAGACATCGCTTGATCTCACCCAAGCCATATCTCCTTCTGAGCCAGTTTTGGATGATAACTGTTCTAAAACAGACATTTGAATGATTGAGAAAACAGTACTTTCCACTTATATTCTTTGTTAAATACATAACTTCATTGGCACCGTAGTGTTGTTGTAATCAAACCAAAATTATAACAGAATATTTGAGTGTGACTGTCTTTAACACTGTTGCATTTCCCTTCCATTAATGATTGTGTTTCTTCATTTCAGACGATCAATGGAAATAGCAGAGGACCGAAGTGTTTATCAGATCCTGCTGTCTTCTCCTTCCGATCTATCAGCAGTGGGTTCTCTCCCCTGACGCCAGTGGAAGAACCATCATGCGCATACTGAAGAAGTTACCAGTATCACGTGATAATTGTAACGTTGAGCTTCAGTTATGCCACTGTTCTTCTTTTTGGCCAAAGAAGTGACCCCGAGGGGACAGAACTGATTATCTCCCCTAATCTGCGGACGAGGCTTCTAGATTATGGGGAGGTCAATAGAGGTGCTGAAGACTTCCATCATTGGAGTATTGTGTTCAGAGAAAACTGATGACTTTGTGCTGTAGGAGTGAGTCCCAGTGGTTGAAGGTGGAGATTGTATATGGAGGCCCTCAGTGCTTAATGGAGATCTACGCATGTATGTACGCACAGACGAAGCCTGATGGCAACTAGGACATGCATCTATACCATTAACTTATACTGTAGAAACAAGCATCTGCCTACTGCATTCATTCAGTTGACCTTGAAGCTGTTGTGTATCATTAGTAGTGCACGTCGGCTTGTTCAGCATTCAGTCAGCCATTTATCATAAGTCAATCAATATTGTGATTTTTTATCTATTGAAGACTGTTTACATTATAGACTATATATTTAATGCTAGAAGTAGCGACTGTGGAGATAGATAGCCCAGTGGTGCCGACTCACATGGCCGATTGATGAACTCGCTTGCTTCAACACTCAACGCTTACTCAGGCAGGCATATATACATTTTGTCATCATTATTACTGAGGATGTGTACAGGCTGGTTTTTTTCCACAGACATTTTTCTATATTTTTCCCATTTTTTGAAAAGTTTGCATGCTTGATGTTTTGGAGCTGAGGCATGCTTGGTTAGCATCTTGTTTACGCTCAGTGGCTAAGTGACACTACATGTGGCCGGAGGTCTGTCTGTGCATGCCTACTCCATGCTGTGAACAGGTCCACAGGACTATGGCTACAACTGCTGATATGAAGATATATGGCTAGCATGGAGTAAGGTCAGGGAAAGACATGATGACTTTGGGAGTCTGTGACCATGTTCGAATAACTGCCAGAGATGGGAGCCAGTGGAGGCATCAGCTTCTTGGATGGTTCGGACTTTGCAAAACATGCTGCTCATGGACATCAGAACAACAAAACCAGATTGTGCAGATATGTGACAGACAAATGTTATTATCATTTCATCAAACATATATCATGGTAGAAGGTGAACCCTCACTGAATATTATCGAAAGACTGTTCTGTAACATATGCTTTGTTTTGCAAGATTGATGTACTAGCAAGCAATACATGTTACCAGTAGGTGTCCCATCATGCATTACCCTATTATATATCCCATCATGCATCACCCCAGTACATATCCCATCATGCATCACCCTAGTAGATATCCCATCATGCATCACCCTAGTAGATATCCCATCATGCATCCCCCTAGTATATATCCCATCATGCATCACCCCAGTAGATGTCCCATCATGCATCACCCTACTAGATATCCCATCATGCATCACCCCAGCAGATGTCCCATCATGCATCACACCATGGTTACACCTTTACCATACAGCATACTGCGGCAATAGGTTAGCCTGAGCAGGTAATATTGCAGCTGCAGCTGTAACAGCATCAACATCATCACTACAGCAGCTACATGAACTACAGTGTACTTGTGCTCTCCTGTGTACAGAGATGTTCTTCCTGGCAGCTGTTGATCATGTGTCCTGTTAGTACATTGAAGATTCAACTGTAATCCTACTTCCACTACACTATGTCGCTTGGCAGAATGGCAGCTTGCACTACACAAAATGGCAAGAAGCTATTGAAGGGCTTCATTATGTATAGGACCACAGCTGTTGAGTAAAACATTGTTAAACTACAGTTTTATTACCACATTCAATGTACAGCCAGAATTGATTCTATTGGTTTGCTCTTTTCAAAGCCATAGGATCAGCTACTTTGTTCCTACTGCCATAGAATATTTGACAGTGATGAATTGGCTATTTATGTTTGAAATAATTTTGATTAATTTATTGGCAAATACTGAGTTCTTTGTGGGGTAATTGACTTATCAATCAGTGAAGTTTATTTTAATCTGTTTGAGGGGAGGGGTGGGGGTGAATAGACAAGATATATTATACTTAGGGCTGTACTTTAAGAATAACTCTCCTAGTAATTTTGGTACCCCTTAAAAAAAAATAAAAAATTCATCACTCTCCCCATGGTTTGAAGACATTGTAATAAATTACGTCATTATTTTTGGTCACTATTAATTTTTTACTTTTTATGGCCATCTCAAAAATGATTTCAGCTTGCTTGCTTACATTTTTGGATGAACGTTCCCTTGAATCTCTTTTCCCGACCACTTGTTATTGATGACATGATCATGTACATGTACTATTATGGTATGTAGATTTTCAGTGATCTATTCTTCAGCTGTGGAGTCTTTTTTAGGATATATGAATATGCATTTTGGACAAACACTGTTATGATATTTTTTATGTATACAAAAATAGACTATGTAATGAATTGTTTTGATTGAAGAATTTACAGTTGTTATTCAGATTTTGGTAAAGCTAAGGTGGGCGAGTGGAGGCGTAAGTGTTGAAATCCTGTTATGATAGGAGAACAGATGCTGCAAATTTGTTTCTCTATTTCCACGTTAGCTTTTGTTAAGCATGACAAGCTGTCTAATTTATGGTACATCTAATGTAAATTGTTTATAGGAAATATGCACCTTGGGCGTCACCTTGATGCATATGAACGTACGTGATCAGACAGAATCAATTTCAAGACAACCTTTATATAGAACCCGTGTTTTTATGGCCACCAAATCAATTTTATGGTCACGACGCTGACATACTGAACACTTACTGCTTTTATTTGAGTTAGGTGAAGCATTTTGCAGCATGACAGACCTATCCTTGAAAAAAGCCTCAATTTCAGGGGATGTAGATATTTTATATTTGTAAGATCGTGAACAATTTGGACGTCCCTTGTGGGGCAGACCTTGCAGCTCACCTACCTCTAAAGATTTGCACTGTCTACAATGTTTGCACACCAGGAAATCGTGTTTGTTAACATTGTATCATTAACACTATGATCAGTCCTCATATTGGCTTTACAAAGTCATTAAGATTGTGCTAATGTATTCATAATAGTACCTATCTTAACGAGGAGCCTCCTACCCTTGGGCCAATTTGCAGTCTTCACAAGTTGATTCAAATCATTCAAATCCCATGTTGCAAATTCACATCTTATTATCAATGGGGGCATTAATTATTACCTTAAGACCACACAGATACAGTGTTTCAGTTTGACACATAACACTGATTGCAGTGACACTACCCACTGGAAATGGCCCTTGGCAATGGAGCACAGTGTGGCTTAACCTTCACTTGCCAGAGTTACTCAATATGGGAAATACTATCCTGAAATACTACCCTGAAATGTGTAACGTTAATGGATGGTTTATTTGAATGTTTGATATTTATGTGGGAATCTTTCTGTGTCTCATTCAGTGCATTTAACATGAACTAGTATGATTTATTCAGAAACTGTTTCTTAAGATAAACAAGCAATTTGACAATATATGTGATCACAGTGTTTCACAACAAAAAGGTTGTGCTTGGAAAATATTTATTTCATATTTTGAAATACACATGTTAAAGAAGAGCAGTTTCTGAAAGCAGTTTGTTTGTGTACCAATGTTTTGAATTTGTCATGAATAACTTCACATAATTGTTTCAGCAAGATATGAGTGTTTGACCTGTCAGTATTTTTGTTATAAATCTGACTAATAATTTCGTCTTTATGAAGCATATGGAAGTGGCAATGTTTTGTAAAACAGGGAGTGATGCCAGGCAACTTTCAACATGTGCTTTTCACAGGCTCAATTTGATTTTGAGATCATTTCAGGGCAATTTGTTAGCAAATTTCTTGAACTATTTTTTGGCATTTGGAGGTGCCATGGTTACTTTCAGTCACATGACTATCAAATGGCGGCAATAGTCCAGTGTGACATAGGTAGCGCTAGTACTACAAGTTCACCAGAGACTGGATTCCCTCAGGTTCCTCACTAAATCTGTGATAATGTATTCCAAACATAAGTCAGGGGTCTTGAGTGGACCTCTTCATCTTGGGTTGTTTGGCCATGTTTAAATTGGCCCACCTCACATTGTTTCAGAAACAGATACAAATATTGCCAATTCAGAAAAATATAAATCAGATTACTCAAACCAGTTTAATTTTGTGGCAATGTAAGGTTATGTATCTTTTCTGAAGACTCATCTTGGCCACTGAATCTACCAAGATGTAATGTCCAACATGGCTTCAGTCTCTGAATGTCCTCCAGGCTCTTTGTCTTGCTGCTGAACTAATGTCTGACCTCATATTTCTTGATACCTCGGTCCTCAGGTATGTGTGATCTCAGTGTGGTAAGCCACCTCCTCCCTTCCGGCTAAGGAAGCAGCAGCACATTCTGCTATATAATTCATGCTTTTACTCCAAGTTGAAATTCAAGAAAAAATCTACTGTGTTTCTGAATTCAGTAACTAGGTTGCATCTTGATCGTCATGATCTTAGACTTGATGATTAAGTCAGGGTGAATTTTGAACAAAGGATCTAGTTTGAAGGAAATGTGATGGAATCGTGTTTCTGTGATCAAAATGATGGCAAGGAACCATTACAGCTGGTGGTCTCTGACAATAGGTAGGCAATTATATTGAAAGAAACTTGGTCTGTTAAGGCAAGTAACCTGGAGGTAACACACAATCAATATTCATCTTTGCGCCATTCAAAATAATTTATTTTTGCCCATTTTTGTTGCCCAAGGGCAAGCAGTTACTCCTTGTATTTCCCAATTTACCAGTGCCAGTCCACTGTGGATCGGTGTTGAGGTGAAAAGATTGATATTCTCAATGCCTGTGTTTTTACTTTCATCATGTAACATTGGCAGCCAGTGCCACATTGATTTTTATGACGTTTTTTTTAAAGGTGATTACTTCCTGGTGAGGAGATGTTTTTATTGATTCCTGGCCATGCTGGATTTTTGGTTCGGAAACTATTGTTAGTCCCATGGTATGTAGATTAAACTTACTGGTGGTGTGAGTGGATGTGGTCAGTGGACCAATGTGTTTGCTATAATTGCCCCTGACTACCGGGTACCCATTTATGGTCCTGGCTTAACTATATTGTTTCCCTATCCCTCGTGTATCAACTGCCAGTTTAATTCTGTTGATGCTGTTGTTGATCCAACCTGTACCATTATTGGAAATGTTCCTGTAAAATGTTTAAACTAGCACTTCCATAGGCTCCAGGCACAGTTCCCCTTGCACAATTTCCCTCATGTTTCTTCCAGTGTAACCTTGTCCAATCTGTAGAAGGACGAAACTTGCCTTATCTGTATACGGGAGTACTTGAGAATTATTTGACAGATTTTTTTATGCATCACTCATCGTACTACCTCTTGGCGTCAACAGAACACCAGTGTTTTGTTGACACTTGATGATGTTATAATGGTTGCCAGGGAACCAATGATAACGTTCCCATGGCAACTAAAACTTTTTGTGTTGATAATTACTATGAATACAACTGTTCATGGTAGTTCTTGTACGAGTCGATATTTTTGGAGAGAGTCTGTACACTTGGTTTTATGGACATGTACAACGTTGTGTAATGCCCATGTTCACGTCTTGCACGTGCATTCAGAGAGTGGATCGCGAGAGAGGTTGTGAGTGCTGTTTGGGAAGACACGATGGGAGTCCCATTTGAAATGTTTCAAACTAGGTTCTGTCTATTGTATTGACGGGAGGCGAAGGTTCTGTATACTGTATCGAAGAAGGAGGGCGAGTGCACGGACGCGACTGAAAGAGATGAGATTTTCTTACTGTGAATAAAAGTTTAATCTGTGAATATCTGTTTGTTTTACTTTGAAGACAGGAATGTTTGTAGGTCTGTATGTTAACCAATAACACTGCAATACCCCGGCACTTGAAGAAATGAGTGGATGCTGTTTAATGCCAAGTCAGCAATGTCACAACTACACAACGGCGGTCCTACATAATGATGGAGCCTTGTTGAGGCAGATGTAATGAGCGAAGGTTCACACGCACATACACACGCACGCACACGCACACGCACACACACACACACACACACACACACACACACACACACACACACACACACACACATATACAGAGGTTTACCACTGAATGAATCTGATACAACACTTGAGAAGTTATCGGTTATGAAAAGACACTGGATTTCACTCTGTAAATTCGGCCACGGCTAGGGTTTGGGTATGGAAATGAGAGGTGGAAACTTTTCTTGTAGGTACAACATCTCAACAGATCTACAGATGACCACGATTTAACAAAGTCCCCAGATGGCGCTCATAAACTCGACACTGACTACGGGTCGTTAGCCCCAGACCCCAATATGCTTCCAACACCCGTTCTCTCACTAGCTTTTAAAGATTGACATTCCTCATTCTAGTTTGGCAAATTTTGGAATTATCAGACTTCAGTTTATTGACTTGCAGCGTCCGGATATATTCATACCACATATATGTTAACAATGCGCTACTGGTAAGAGATACCGCGTGGTTTAACAAGACAAAACCGGTTTATAGGCTGGTGACATTTAATAAGGAAACGCTAGAATGCAGTAGTATTTACTCCGAAATTAAACATTCATGATGCATATAAAGAGATACAAGAGTACAAAAAGGTTCTGTGTCAGTATTAACCATAGGTACGCCGCAGTTCGATCATTGGTCGGCCTTCTATATTCCACAGGCACTGCATGCACGAAGCAGTATCTTTTGGCGGCCTTCTTTAGACCACAGACACTGTATAATACATACACGACACTCATGGGCCGGTTTTCTATGGACCACAGGCACTGTATACACGGCGCAGTGTTATTGGCGGCCTTCTATATACCATAGGCACTGTATACACGACGCACTGTCATAAGCCGGTCTTCTATATACCACAGGCACTGTAAACACGACGCTCATGGGCCGGTCTTCTATGGACCACATGCACTGTATACACGACGCACTGTCATAAACCGGTCTTCTATATACCACAGGCAATGTAAACACGACGCTCATGGGCCGGTCTTCTATAAACCAAGGACACTGTAGACACTCATGGGCCGGTCTTCTATGGACCACATGCACTGTATACACGACGCACTGTCATAAACCGGTCTTCTATATACCACAGGCAATGTAAACACGACGCTCATGGGCCGGTCTTCTATATACCAAGGACACTGTAGACACTCATGGGCCGGTCTTCTATGGGCCACAGGCACTGTATACACGACGCAGTGTCATTGGCGGCCTTCTATATACCACAGGCACTGTATACACGGCGCAGTGTTATTGGCGGCCTTCTATATACCACAGGCACTGTATACACGGCGCAGTGTTATTGGCGGCCTTCTATATACCACAGGCACTGTATACACGGCGCAGTATTATTGGCGGCCTTCTATATACCACAGGCAATGTAAACACGACGCTCATGGGCCGGTCTTCTATATACCAAGGACACTGTAGACACTCATGGGCCGGTCTTCTATGGGCCACAGGCACTGTATACACGACGCAGTGTCATTGGCGGCCTTCTATATACCACAGGCACTGTATACACGGCGCAGTGTTATTGGCGGCCTTCTATATACCACAGGCACTGTATACACGGCTCAGTGTTATTGGCGGCCTTCTATATACCACAGGCACTGTATACACGGCGCAGTATTATTGGCGGCCTTCTATATACCACAGGCACTGTAAACACGACGCTCATGGGCCGGTCTTCTATATACCAAGGACACTGTATACACGGCGCAGTATTATTGGCGGCCTTCTATATACCACAGGCACTGTATACACGGCGCAGTGTTATTGGCGGCCTTCTATATACCACAGGCACTGTATACACGGCTCAGTGTTATTGGCGGCCTTCTATATACCACAGGCACTGTATACACGGCGCAGTATTATTGGCGGCCTTCTATATACCACAGGCACTGTATACACGGCGCAGTATTATTGGCGGCCTTCTATATACCACAGGCACTGTATACACGGCGCAGTATTATTGGCGGCCTTCTATTGACAACAGGCAATGTATACACGACGCTCATGGGGCCGGTCATGGGCGGCCTTCTATATACCACAGGCACTGTATACACGGCGCAGTATTATTGGCGGCCTTCTATGGACCACATGCACTGTATACACGACGCACTGTCATAAACCGGTCTTCTATATACCACAGGCAATGTAAACACGACGCTCATGGGCCGGTCTTCTATATACCAAGGACACTGTAGACACTCATGGGCCGGTCTTCTATGGGCCACAGGCACTGTATACACGACGCAGTGTCATTGGCGGCCTTCTATATACCACAGGCACTGTATACACGGCGCAGTGTTATTGGCGGCCTTCTATATACCACAGGCACTGTATACACGGCGCAGTGTTATTGGCGGCCTTCTATATACCACAGGCACTGTATACACGGCGCAGTATTATTGGCGGCCTTCTATATACCACAGGCAATGTAAACACGACGCTCATGGGCCGGTCTTCTATATACCAAGGACACTGTAGACACTCATGGGCCGGTCTTCTATGGGCCACAGGCACTGTATACACGACGCAGTGTCATTGGCGGCCTTCTATATACCACAGGCACTGTATACACGGCGCAGTGTTATTGGCGGCCTTCTATATACCACAGGCACTGTATACACGGCTCAGTGTTATTGGCGGCCTTCTATATACCACAGGCACTGTATACACGGCGCAGTATTATTGGCGGCCTTCTATATACCACAGGCACTGTAAACACGACGCTCATGGGCCGGTCTTCTATATACCAAGGACACTGTATACACGGCGCAGTATTATTGGCGGCCTTCTATATACCACAGGCACTGTATACACGGCGCAGTGTTATTGGCGGCCTTCTATATACCACAGGCACTGTATACACGGCTCAGTGTTATTGGCGGCCTTCTATATACCACAGGCACTGTATACACGGCGCAGTATTATTGGCGGCCTTCTATATACCACAGGCACTGTATACACGGCGCAGTATTATTGGCGGCCTTCTATATACCACAGGCACTGTATACACGGCGCAGTATTATTGGCGGCCTTCTATTGACAACAGGCAATGTATACACGACGCTCATGGGCCGGTCTTCTATGGGCCACAGGCACTGTATACACGGTGTCATTGTCCATATATGTGTAGTTTTCTTTATTCTAACAGGTGGTCCTATGCATGTGTATACCATTGGCCAAGTGACGATATATGCGTAGACATTTATCAGATTCGGCTGTGGCTGTCAGAACTTAATGATCGAAACAGGAAGACGAAGAAGAACGACTGTGTCACTTCTGCAACCGTTTTGACTTTGATTATAACTTGTAGCTATGTTTTCCGTCACACTATATTATATTTATTCATTGCCTAATTTTCTACTTGAACCGTTTTCTCTTTAACCCACCTTATTTTATATAATTTTGTATGGCACTCTGCCCTGGCACCTTCGGTACTTACGTCACGATGATGTGCTGGATACTGTGGGGGAACGTCCCGTAGCACCATTCACGTTTCTGTACAGGAACAGATACACTTGCGTTGGCCCGCTGCTAGTCTGTCATAGAGACCCTGAAACAAACATATCCAATACAGCCCATACAAGTCTATAATGTTTGGCAAGTCTTGATTACTGCAATATCAGGTCTGAAAATGAAGAAAGTCTCTGGGCTCCTTTTAATTATATTTTATACCTATAATTTAACAACGGTCTTTTTTTCTGAAAATTATGTTCATTTCAGAGACTAGATGTTAGTCTGGCCCGCTGCACATGGTCAATTTTGCCAAATGACAAGTATCGGTCACCAATGTTCCGAATCTAGGAACAAGTCGCCATCACAATTATTCAGTATTTGGAGAATAAACCGATGAGGAGTAATGTTTTATTAGCCGTTCCAAGTAGAACGCTTGTAGACAATAAGGGCTATTTTCATCCCCATTGTGTCCAAATAGCATACTGTGGTATCACGTGAAAGGACTTCGATTTTATAATTAGGAGGACAGGTTTATCGCTATTTAGGCCAGGTGCCGCTCCCTGCTGAGGGAGTGCAGTTAAACACGAGCTATTGTAATCTTTACGTGGTGTTATTGACGACTCAATGTGACCATCCAGGTGGAATAAACGCTATAATGTCATATGATATCAAGCCAATAAAATCTAGTTGACCGGGGTCAATCGGTTATATTGTATCAATACATTCAATAAATATTATGTATACAAGGATGCGGTAGAAAAGCATAAACATTCAAACACGTTGATTAACCAACAAAAAATGATAGATGCATTATTTCATACTTCTTGTACCAAGTGTGTGACATTGAGGTATGTAGTCTTTATGTTACACTTTATGTAATCTGATAGACCAAATGATTGGTAGGCTTACCGTAAAACGTGTGATAACATTTGTTACACAATGTCTCTGAAATGATGGGCTTATTCTAAGTAAAATCTGTGATAATACGTCACAGCTAGAACGCCTCAGATAATGTGCTTACTCATGGTAAAATATGCGGTAACGCCTCCCTTATCGCTTCAAATGATGTGCTTACTCGTAGTAAGTGAGTGAGTGAGTATGGTTTTACGCCGCTTTAAGCAATATTCAATCAATATCACGGCGGGGGACACCAGAAGTGGTACCCATGTCGGGAATCGAACCCGGGTCTTCGGCGTGACGAGCCAACGCTTTCACCACTAGGCTACCCGGCCGCCCTTACTCGTAGTAATATGTATGAGAACACCTCACAGATCGCCTCAAGCGACGTTCTAACTCGTAGTAA